AGTTACGCAGTTCCATATTGCATGTCGTCAACGAATTTTGTGATGGCTATACGTTCACCCCTTCTGTACTCGAGTGACCCGATAATCTTCGCAATTAAGCCTACAAAAACACGTTATGCACATTACATACATAAGGTATTTCGGGAGTGTACATCAACCCAAGCGAGCATGTACATATACATGCATATAGCATTATACATTTATACACATATACAACACATACAACACACGATCATATATAAATATACAAATATATAACCATACATCCATGCACATACACATTAGAACAATACACAGTACAACCATTCACACACCCACCCACCTAGGTTGGAGAATATGCGCATGGCGGTTCGGTTGTCAATGAGTTTCTTGCGCTTCATAGGCTCCATGAACACTTTGGTGAGCACTTCCAGTGTGTCTACGTAGCCTCTCTCCGTCTTTATGAGTTCGTTGATGGCGTTCTGGCGATTGACCTCGTCCTTGCCTATGTGGCAGATGGAGGGGTGTATATATGACACACGTCAGGCCATGATATATACTTAAATGGATCGTAAGCTGTGCATAGCTGTAGTCGGCCGCGTGTGTATGTACGTCATCCTACTGTTCTTGTACTTGTGTTTTGTGTGGGTGTTTGGCTGAAGGAGAATATGCAGACGGAAACTCTATGCGTGTGTCTATAGGTTCAGGCGAGCAATCGAGCAACACGATTAGAATGCACAAAACCGCACGATTTGCGCAATGAACTTGATCATCTCTAAACGCGCGCACACCAATAGATCACATATAACTTATCAATCAATCACATAATTTAACACTAATTCACATTCAATTCAAAACATGTGCCAATACTCGTGTCGCATGATACTACCCGTAACACACACACCTAGAAAGTCCAGTAATTCGCTTCGGACGCCTGTGGACCATAACCCCGCCGGCGCCGCATCAACCGTCCTTGATATTCTAATATTCCAATGAAATACAAAATTAAATTTAGCGAGAACGAATTCCAACACCGGCTCGGGCAACTCGAGTCTTAATATGGGGCTCAGAGACATCTGGTTTTGGTATACGGTAGAATCTGGCGCAAGCAATAGTTAGTTTTGATAGTCCACATCAGAAGCTGTGGGAAACGGATTGAAAAATCTCGCACATCCATACACACATACAGGAACACACACACATACACTCCTATATGCATACAGTCACTGTTTGGCGGGGCCGTTGTCATTGCGATATATAGATGGTTCTTGGCCTGAGGTACACACCCACACTCCTATATGCATAGAGTCACTGTTTGGCGGGGCCGTTATGATTGCGTTTTATAGATGGCTTGGCCAGGATCTTTCATGCTGCTGGTATATAGATGTACTGCACATTGCACTATTTACGCTGAAATATCATTTCGTTTATAGATATCTGACTGTCATCTTATACACACCACACACGCGCGGACTGACTTCGTAATTACGCCAGGCCGTCCAAACAAATACAAACTCACGAGCTCTAGCGGGTGGTGGTTGAGCGTGAGCCTTCAAGCATATTGCTCTACACTGGTCATAGACTATGTACCTTGGCGTACCATTCCGATGCATATATATATACATATATATATAAACATACATACATACGTACATACATACACACACACACACACAC